GATGAACTGCTCCATAATCTTCCCCGGCACCGAGGTCAGGCTGACAGGCCTGTAGTTCCCTAGATCCTCCTTCCGGCCCTTCTTGTAGATGGGCGTCACATTGGCAAGCCTATCTTCTCCTTAATGTCCTAACACCTCCCACAAAGCCTGCTACCATTTGGAGGAGTTATTATTTTCACATTACCTGAACACACCTGTTGTTTCACAATAATATTCAGGCCAGTCTTAACCTAAAATTCTCCTGGTGAAGCATCAGAAGCTCTCACGTGTGATGATCAAGGGAATGCATCTACATAGTGTATGGCGTCCATTTAAAACTGTCTCCTCTGGTAGGTGGCAGGCTGAAATTAATTTGAAAATGAAATATTCCACTGTTTAACTTCTGTCCTGGACTGGCCTTCAAAAGGGATGAAAGGCTAATAAGAAAAGGTTGTTAACCCTTGAACATTATCTACTCACATGGCTGTCCTACGGCACATGCCAGTATTGCCAAGTTTGACCTCAGCTGACGCAGTAATTAAGATGGACGTGGTGAAAGAATCATTAATGTAACAAATCTGACCAAATGTTGTGTGGCAAATGGAACTGGAGATGACAGAAGTCTGTACGATTTCTACAGCTAAAAGCTTGTAGAAAAAGTATCCTCAATACTGAGAAAAACTAACCTATTTCCCCCCAAAACTACAGAAAGATAAGAAAACGCAGGCAGAACACTTAATGTAAACACTTATTGCTGTAGGTACATATATGTGTCTTGTACTAGCTAAAGGAAAGAATGATTTGACCTTGGATCCCCTGCAAAGTCTGTACATGTATTTCAACCAGCACGTGTCCCAAAACCCAGACTGCCCAGGGGCTGTACATGCTTGGCATTTTGGAATGAGAGGGTGAGGAGGAAGAGGGAGAGCCAGCATTGCCTATAGCCTCAGAGCAATGATAGGCTGTACACATGAAGCACACTAGAAAGGCCAGGGAAAGGCAAGGCTGCACCCTGGAGAACTCAGAGGGGCTCTTAAACCCAAACAGGATCGGCAATTAGGACCTCCCACCCCGACTTCCAAACACAGCAGCCTGGCAAACATCCACCTGGGAATGCTACCAGAGCCTCAACTGCAGGGACAGAAGGTGCTCTGGAGGAATTATTCTCCCCTTGTACTTCAGTACTAGTCTCCACATTTGTTTGCTTGAATACAGCTCCATGTATCATGATGTTATGCACCAAGGCAGTGTTGGGCCACAGCACAGCCCTCTTGGATTCATCCTAAAAGCCTGGCTGCTGAAGACCGATAAATACCTGGGCATGCCAGCTTTAGTTTAGATTTTAAAATAAAGCTTTTAGCCTTTCTGTTTGTGATGGCTGTTAGCATGACCTCAGCATAACCACTGTCAGAACACAATTTGTCCAAGTCTGCAGAGAGCCTCTAATGATAGCTCTGAGATGTGAAGAATTTTATCCATCTTCACAGCATTTTTAATTCCGAAACACTATCTGAGCGGCACTACTCATCAAAGAATGAGATGTGGCAGAAGAGCACAGGGCTGATCACTCAGCTTTACACACTTTGCAAAATAAATAATCCAAAGTGTGTTATTGTGCCTGCACTTCTCTGGGTGATTTGGGAGTGGGTGGCCACTGCTGCTGTTCTCATAAAGAGATGGAAGAGTCTCATTTCACTCTCTGTGAGGAAATCCCTCTTCCCTTATCAGCCCAAGCTGAAAAATTGCACCAGGTAAGTAATCACTGCCAGGGTGCAGGCCACTTTGTGATTTTTGCAGGTTGTAGTTTGAGACCTGTATCCTATGGGGGTGTGCAGGCTGTTGCTGATGTGACCCCTCTGCAGCTCTTCCACAGCTTATGCTAGGCAAGGTCACTTAACTGTACCTGCCTCAGTTTACTTGTGAAGTGAGGTTAAACATTAAAAAGCAATAGACAAAAGTATTTCTTAAGATTTTATAAATATCTAAAACCTGGAACTTTTAAAGGTATAAATTACTCAACTGATATCAAGAAGCACTGATGAGGGAATGGGAAGTCAACAGTAACAAACCACTTTAACACAGTGTCTCCACACTCTGCTCAGAGAGGTGCTTCACTGAAAGAGGTGCTGTCTCTTCACATGCCTGGTGTACCCAGCAATGCTTGGCAAAACATTAGCAAACAGAGATACTGTTTAGAAATCTTCATCATCGAAGGTCTCAGTGCACCTCAGCATCACAGTCTCATAATCGAACTGAAGATCTTCTTCCTGAAAGCCCCCCCAAAGCCAAGCAGGATTAAAAACCACAGGAGTTGACTGCGTTTCAAATATACAGTGGGTTGGTCAAGTGCTGACATGTGCCAGCTAATGCGCCATAAGCCTTCCTTCCTCTCTGAATCGGCAACCAGCACTTGTCAAGTGGCTGAGGTGCCTGATGAAGAACGGCTCAAATTTTCAACCGATTTCTTTCTAAAATCACAGGGCTCCACCCCGTGTCTTTAACGTAATTTAGACAGCTGTTACTGACTGTGGTAGCAAGTGGGTCACATGACAGGCTCTGAAGGTATGAGAGCTTCCTTGAGCCCTTAACTTCTACTGACTTCAGGCTTTGCTGCTCTTTTAGCAACAGAAGGAAATAGTCTCTTTCACCAGCTTACAGAGAATAAGTGGCTCTTGAGAAATCAAAGTCTAGGAGATGAAAGTGTTCATGCCTGCAGTCCATCTAGTCCACCTTCTGCATTGATGCAAGACTCTTTAGGGCAAGACTGCTTTTAAAAATAGGTGCTGTTTAAAAAATGTATAGCTTAAGGAGCACTAAATCCTACTTGCTTGTCAAGTGACTCATCTAAACTCCATAATTTTTAAAGAAAGTGTGCTTTTGAAGATGCAAAGGTGCTCAGTGCTATTTAGAAAAAAAACCACTGACTTTTACTTAGATATTGTAAAAACCTTTGGGCCTCAATCTAAATTAATTCTTTACTGCCTTTGCTGCTAAGCATCTCTTATGATGTGACCTTAAGACAACAGCTCTTGAAAAATTACAAAATTGCTTAACTAATCTCATGCTCAGAAATATTTTTCTACCATGTACCATGGAAGCATGCTCCTGTTCTCATTTTTGGGTCATTGTCGTTTTAAGAGCCCTCCCTTTCCTTGTCCAAATGATTTCCTCCCTCCTCTTGTGTGAGGCTTTCTCAAGCATTTTATACCAGTGGGGTCCATGCCCTTGGCCGCCTCGAGAGCCAGGGCAGCAGCTCAAGAGGAGTTGCACTCACTGGATCTGTGACTACGAAATGGTGAATGTACACAATCCAACAATAGTACTTTGTACCTGGACAGTTAACCAGAAATGGTATAACATAGCACTGGCATGTAATGACCAGCAATAAAACCCATCACCTCATCAGCTCTGCAGATGAAAGGAAAGGAGACCATAGGCTGCCTTTCATATTTCAGCCGGGTGCACATCGCATGCCTCGCCTTGGTACTGTACCTGCTACCCACCTCTGAATCTTCTACAAAGTGTGTGTACAGTGCACCAGGACATCACTTTATCCTTGGGATAATTTATCCCAGCACTGCCGTGCTGGTTTTGGCTGGGGTAGAGTTAATTTTCTTCATAGTAGCTAGTATGGGGCTATGTTTTGGATTTGTGCTGAAAACAGTGTTGATAACACAGGGATGTTTTCGTTACTGCTGAGCAGTGCTCACACAGACAGCGAGCAGGCTGGGGGTGCACGAGAAGCTGGGAGGGGACACAGCTGGGACCGCTGACCCCAACGGACCAAAGGGATATTCCATCCCATGTGCTGTCATGCTCAGCATATAAAGCTGGGGGAAGAAGAAGGAAGGGGGGAACGTTCGGAGTGATGGCGTTTGTCTTCCCAAGTAACCGTTATGCGTGATGGAGCCCTGCTTTCCTGGAGATGGCTGAACACCTGCCTGCCGATGGGAAGTAGTGAATGAATTCCTTGTTTTGCTTTGCCTGTGTGTGTGGCTTTTGCTTTACCCATTAAATTGTCTTTATCTCAATCCATGAGTTTTCTCACTTTTACCCTTCCGATTCTCTCCCCCATCCCACCATGGGAGGGAGTGAGCGAGCGCCTGTGTGGTGCATAGCTGCCGGCTGGGGTTAAACCACGACAACTGCCCAAACTCCTGGGCTAGTGTAGCACCGGCACAGGTACTCCATCAAGGGAAGGGGAATGGTCTGCAGGGGTTCAGTCACACCCATAAGGTAAGCAGAAAGGGCTCCTTTCCCTGTCAAGTCCAGGAGTCTCCGATGCTCTGAGTAGTCCAATTTCTGGAGTAAGGTATGTAGCCTATACTGAGGTCTCTGCTGCCTGAGTTGGTGTGTTTCAAGCTAGCTGGAACGTCTCCTGTCCCCACTCTGCAACCACTTCCATAACTGCCTCAATCTGTTTGCTTTGAGATGGAGCTGAATTTCTGCTCTCAAAACAAAAAATTCTTGTCAGTCTTTTTTTTTTTGCCTCTTGGCAGGACTCTCTACATGTGCTGTACTGCAGTTATCTAAACCAAAACAGACTGTGACCTTCACATTATTAGTACTCTCTAGCCTGGGTGATTTCTGCTCAAACTCCCTTTTTATTGTCTTATCACAGACAATTCAAAGTTCCTGCATAAAAGAAGTGTGCACAGCCTTTTATTTCCTTTTGGATCCACAGAGCTCAGTCAAGTGCCAGTTTGCAGTACTTCAGCTTCTTTTGCTGCCTGTCTTCCCATCATTCCCATTCTCCTAGTCTTATTTCAAATGTCCCTCTTTAAAGCTTGAAAGAAGCACCACTTCTTCTCATACCACCTCATCTGGGAGCTGTGAGATGGACCTAGGCTCACATATAACAATGCAGCACCAAGCAGAAGGACAAAATGGGACCACCTAATGCTGCCAGGCGTGACATTCACAAAAGAAATTTAAAACCATAAAATACCGTATCTTGCCTAAAGCTTTTCTTTCTTTTCTAGGCATGCTCAGTTCATGGTCAGTTACATAAACACAGGAAGAGCTCTGCTCTTATGCAGAACATAGCTATTTGCAGACCAAAGGGCTGTGTAGATCAGTGCCTGATCTCTGACAATGGCCAGCAGTGGATGTTTAGACAAAAAGTGCAAGAATTGTGCATGCAGTGTGCTCTGTTCCACAATATATGCTCCCACATTATGGCAAACTGCTGTGAGGGCCTTCTGAGCTGGAAATCGTATCTGGAACTTCAGATTTAGTAATTGTCAATGGACTGATGCCCCAGGAGTTAGATCTGGTAATTTGCACATATGAGTATTTTTTAATATGTTGTTTGTTCATTTCATTGGGTGCTTTCTAGTTCTTCTGGTGTTAGATGCAATGAATAATAATTTTGTGTACCAAATCCACACCATTTAGGACCAAAATTCTCTCATGGTACCCCTCAGTCTTTTTTGCGGAAGAGTCCTATTCTAGTAGCTCCTGTTTAATGCCTTTTGCTGTGCCTGCTGCCATTCTCTGCACCTCCTCTAGTGCTACTGTCTCCCTGAGATGGGGGGAACCAAATGGCATGCAGCAGTCACTATGCGATAGATTCAGATAGTGATGCAACAGTAGTTTCTGCTTTGTTTTCTGTCCCAATTACCCCTCATCACAAACACTCTATTTCCTTCAAAGCAGCATCTGCTCAAGTAACAGAGACTGGGTGGAAGCTAGGCAATAGAAAATAGCAAAACAGTGGCTACTGTGGAGGTACAATTGACTCTGAGCCCAAACAAGCATGCTCTGGCTGAGGGATATCTCCCTTTTGGTCCTGCACCCATGTGCAAGCTCTGAGCCACTTCCTTGGCAGGAGAGCAAGAAGGGGAGGAAGAACACTGCAAACACAATGACTTCTGGCTCAGCGAACCTGCAACAGTAGGCTGAGGTTAAGAGGCAGCTCAGCAGCTGTTTATCAGCTCTTTCAAGAACATGAATACCCTACTCCTAAGGCCTGCCAGCAGAGGGCTCAGGGTAGGGAACATGGCACCCAGACAAGCAGAAGGTGGTCCTACTGAGCTCAGAATGAAGTGGCTGGGGGCTAATGGAGAACTGTGAAGTCAGCTTCGCTTGCTCAGATGAGATCACTCAAGCTTTTCCACTAGGAACTTTCATGCAAATAATAATTAAAAAAAAATTCCTCATGTCATTTGCCATTTTGAATAATATTCTAAGCAATAATAACCCCTCACACTTTGCCTCTAACAAAGGCAATCCTACTAACCTTTTGGAATGACACAGCTGAAGTGATCAACCCCAATTTCTTATTTGTAATGACTCTGGACAATATGATCAGAAGCACAGAAAACAGAAATCCCTTTTTGACAATGACAGAAATACATAGCTCCTTCTATAAGGAGTCTTTGGCAAAGCTTACCTGGCAAAACTGTGTATTAGCAAAGAAGAGGCTTTTTAGGAAGTCAGTGATCTGCAGATAGAGTCTGTGGTGGTCCTCTGGATTTTCAGAAGTGCAGCTTGCAAATGCTGAACTGAAAATAGAACCAGACACTGTATTTAATTTCCTGTTCCTTCATTTCTCCTCCTGCTTACTTTCTCTCCTCCACGTTTTACTTATAAATTAAAAAAGATTCAAATTGTTTTCAAGATGATTCTGATATTAAAGACAATAGCCAAGCAAGACAGGGAGGAGCGGAGGTGGATGTATTGATGAGACATTGTCTAACAAATGCAAGGAAGATATGTAAGAACAGAGAACAGCAATACAGTATCACAACAAAGAGATCCACTGATACATGACAGCTATAGTAACACTGCTTTCAGGAAAAGTATATATCCATTATAACAGAGAGCAACAATGGTTATTTGGTAGTGTATTTTGTAGGGTTGTTCAGAGGAACAGCTTTAGCTTCTTTTTGTAAAGTTTTTGAGTGAATGCAGCAACATGTGGTCATGAAATGACATATTAGCTATCACTGGCAGGTTTGTACTCAGGTAAAGGTAACAGGCAAAAAAGTAAGATATTCATTCTGGACCTCACCTCTATATTCTCCCTGTGATTTTACAAAGTTCTGCCATCACGCCTCTGTCCAGAATTACAAGGCACAGAGTGATAGGGAAGGAAGGGAACAGGATAAGTGTTGACTACTGAAATACTAATCTAATTTGGGACCTAAAACAGATTGCAATGATGATGGCAATACATTGCAGTATTAAGGAATACTTAATCTTATTTTAAAAACACACAGCAATTGTGACCTAATAAATGTTATTTAATGGATACATATGTGTTAAGCTTTATTATGTATTCAAGTATATTCTGATCAACAGCCAAAACAACCTTATTTCTGTTCTGGAAGTGCAAGGTGGAATGGTGGTGAAAGAGAGAAAGAGATTCACACTAAAGAATTCTCTAAATATGGAAAAATAAGTGGAAAACGGCATTTAAAACAACAGATTAAAAACGCTATTTGCAAAGAGAAACAATCCTAACAAAGACTAAGTAGCAAGAATGCATAAAAGGTGAGTCATAATGTGATTTTCCTCTTGAGGAAAGCAACCCTTTCCTTTCTTTGGCCTACTGGGAAAAATCAAAGGCAGTGCCAGCTTTGTATCTGACATGTTCTCTTTTAGGTAACTCATCTGACCTGCAGAGGAAAGAGATGTTATTATTTAATAGGTCTTGTGTTTCTCTGATGTTACTGTTCAGGTCAACCACACTTTAGCTTGATCACTTCCTTGTGATTGAATTAGGGTACTTGAAAAAGGTAAGGGAGACAATGTTAAAAAATGATCATTTTTGTCTCATTAATTGAGGGTACAGTTTATGATTAGTTGACTTATCCAGGGAATGCGTTATGGTCCTCATAGACCTGGTAAGTGAGAGAGAGAAAAGGAAAACATTACAAATATTGTAATTTGAAAAGACGGAAAGCTATGCAGAGTGGTGAAGAAAATGAGGACCCTAGTTGTCCTGAAGTGACTGAGTGCTCTCAATAAGTGATTCTTACTGATTCTGCTGTAAATACACATTAATCATTTCACTTTTGCACTTTAAGAGACAGTATTATTGTGAGCACAATTGCTGAAGGCTGCTATTCTAACCATTTACTAAAAATTAGGCACAAAAAAGGAAGCTAGACTATTGCCTCACTCCACAGCAAACTTGCCGTGGAGTATTGACAGTGGACTATTAACTTACTCTGTCTAGCAAAAGGGTCGAGTTTGTAATTTACCTCTGGCTAGACACTCCCTGAGTCTCGCTTCTGTCAAGAAAACCAGCAGCAACATCAAACGCATCTTCAAACATTACCTATCAGAGAAAACACTTCAGATGTCAATATATCCAGCCACCTAAAAGTTTTACCTAGGGCATCATTTTTAACAATGAAGTCTTTAAAAGCATGATACTCTTTCTTTCCATTTAACATGTACGTTTATGGCTAGAGTAAACCAAGAGGCTTTTGTGGAGACAGGAGTAATAAGGAATAACTGTATTTCATGACTAGGAACACAGGGTTAGTCCATTCCCTTAGGCCTATGCTTCAACCTCTAGGAATTAGACTTAACATTACATCTCCCAAAAAAGCAGTAAAAAACATTAATTGTATCAGTGCTTTAGAGACTTGGCTGTGGGCTGCTGCTTACAGCTAGAGATCTCAGCTGTACCAGCCAGTCTCCCCAAATCTGATTCCAGTGTGCGACCTGGCTTGCAATGAGTTTGGATGCTCCCTGTGACAGACCGATAAGCTCATTAGTTCACTCTGCCATAATGCAGTCCACACATTTTCTGTGCCAGAAGCTACTGTACATGCAACATCCCCATGACATTTCCTAAGGAGGTCAGCAGTGTGAGTTGTGTCCTGTGACTCAAAAAGAACTTGTCAATGCAGTTTACTTATATGCTAAAGGTGGACATCTGTTCCTCCCTTGCAGCTAATAAGATTACACATGTCTTCAAGCATCTAGTTGCTTAAGTAATCAGTGCTCGAGGAACGGTTTACAAAGAGCTGGTTGTTATTTCATCTCTTTTTAACAAATGCCCTGGTCTACTCAGTCACTGACTCCTTGGCTCTGCAGAGGTGCATGGCAAAGGCAGTCATTAGCCCTGTACCACTGGAACTGGTCTACAAATACTTTCTCTTTGCTGCTAAGTGCTTTGATGAAAACAACCACCCAACCCAAAACACAGCAGGCCTTGGCAAACTGGGTATTCCTTCTGGATTTAGCTCATCTGTGCTCCTTGGAGAGTTTGCAGAGCACAGTAACTCTATAATTCTTGTTCTTGCTCCCTCCCCCTGGAGCAAGTTAGAGCAAATTTAACTGCTACTTAGCACAGAAACTCTACAGGTTAGTGGAGACTAGCAGGATTACTACCACTGCACTCCTACAGCTTGCTGTGTATCTTACCAAGAGATAATTCAGTGCAGACATTTACTCAAAGACTGCTTATTGTCTCCACTTATGCATTCAAGTTGTCTTGGGAAAGCTTAATTACAACTACTGTATGTTTCCAGTTAAAAGCTGCAGAGCCAATTCGCATCTGAAGGCTTGGAGTTTCAGAGGTAGAAGCACTTACTTCCTCTGGTGTGGAGACTGAGGAACCACTGGCTTCCTCACTGTTACCTCGGCTGTCCCTCACACTACCTTCAGTGCACGCAGGCTCTTGGCAAGCAGCCTTAGGATCCACGAGGAAATCTCTCTGGCTACAGTACTGCAAGATGCTGTCTCTCCTTTCTTCAGAAAGCTCTTGCCAGAGGTGGGAAATAGCCGTGGAGACCTCAGGAAGAGGCACCTCCTCAGTGCAAACAATTCCATGCTCTATCAGCAGGTCCACTGTGTGCTTATAAAAATACAGGTATCTGTAATGAAAGGAAAGGGAGCATCTCTTAAGAGCAGGCTATGAGGTAGCCATCTACTGTAAATCAGCAGGAGACTGGGGAGTAACTCTGATTCATAACTACTTCACTGATTCCCCCTCTAAGACTTCATACAATTACTGAAGGTTGCCCAACACTGAAGATTTTGGCAACTCTGTTCTGCCAAGATTTCATCTGCAAAAGGCAGGCTCCAGCCACAGCCTCAGCAGGACTGCCTCACAACAGAAGATCCAGGCGCTGCAGGCTGTACTTGTTGCACAGGCAAACCTCATTCTGGCATTTAATAAATTTTGAGTTACTTGCCTTTGTATCCTGAGGCTTTTACACTGTAAGTCACTTTTTATACTTTTACTGGCATTGCACTACACTTAAAAGCCTTGGCTGAGGTCATATCCTGATGTATTAGGTACTATACATGCAGCTAGAAAGAGACTACCCCAGGCATGGATGCTCTGACTTAAATAAGCATGTGAGCTCAATTTCCTCCATTTTACATCTGAGGAAACGCATCCCTAAGACTGACTTCTATGCAGTCTGTAGTGAAACTGATAATGGAACACAAGTGTTGTAATTTCAACCTGGTGACTAAATCTCAGAACGAGCCCACTTCTTCTGTTAGCACTGTGTGACACAGTGAACCAGGGATAATAATGTCTACTTTGGAAAGCAGCACTGAAGGTTATTTTACATTAATTAAATGCTTAGAGCTTCTCAGATGAAAATAACAAGATCAAAGGAGTACAAAGCAAGAGTTCTATAAACAGCAGTCATTGTTACTAAGTTTGGGCTCAAAATGATTCCTTGGAAGATGTCCCAAATGAGCACATTTCCTGATTAACTGAACAGCATTGCATGAGAAAGTAACTCAAAAGAGTTCAGTCTTTTTTTTTTTTTAAATATTTGTTCCAGCAAACCAATATTGAAAATCTTAAGATAATTCTGCACGCAAGCGTAAACTTGCTTAATCTCCAGTTTCCATACTCTGGAGTATTTTCCACCATTGCTGGAGACAAAATACCAGAAGGGGAATAAACGTTCTCATGTAAGGTATTGCGCTCACTAAGGATTCTGGATGTCCAGCTCCAAACAAAGGATCTGGAGTTTCTCAAACAGAAGAATATGAACCACCATTAGACTGCTTGGCTAAAGAAATTAAGCTTGAACCATGACTCAACTATTTCCTTCCCAGCTGGAAGGAGACAACCATATTTTGCACTGGACAGAGTACTGTGTAGTCCTACCATTGTAGCTCCTGCTGCTGGACATGGAAAAAAAAAAAAGTCTGTTGAGGCTCAAAGTGTTTCTGATGCTTCCCAAATAACATGATTAGATGATCACCAAAAGGCTGTTATTTCTTTGCTGAAGAGTCCCTATTGTTTTATGCCTGTTATAAAAGATCATTTTTTGAGAAGAATTAGCTATGAACCAACTGCAGTCTGTCATAAGACTATAGGATAAGTGCCAGAGTCCACACAGTACAGGCCCTGGTCTACCTTGTCAGTGAAGAAGGGGCAAGTCAGGAGTTTATGGCTCTGTCGTGCAGTCTTTGATGAAGCAGAGCTTACTTCCCCCAGAAAATCTTGATTCAGCCCATTTCAAGGTCTTGTAAATGATACCTTACTACAGCCACCTCCGATTCTCACTGGAGCAAAAGCAGGAACAGTAGTGGGAGGCTGGTGCCATCTGCTGGCAGAGCTGTAATCTCATTTTGATGAAAAACTCAATAATCCAAGGGAATTTTATAAATAAGCACCAGTTCAAAGCAAAAGAGAGGAAGGAACCGCGGAAGTTTTTGTTTATGGCGGTGATGCTGTGGAAGAGAATGCCAGCTGCAGCTGTGGATTCTCCTGCACTACATATTCTTAACTCTGGAATGGTTAGGGTGAAACTGACTCTGCTTGATGGTACAGGATAGATTAGACATCCATCCGTTTCTCAAATCTTTACAATGAAATGATCATTTATCCTTTTGGAAAAGCATCCATGACCTCTAAGTACCTCCTAGTGCTGTCTGACAGCAAGGGGAAGAATGTGATGAATCATGTGTACTCAGTCTTAAGGTATCAATAACTTTGATAAAACCAGTAATTTTACCATTACAACCCCAGACTAAAATACATGGACCACTGACATGAGAACAGTGGTCTTTCTTTGGTTTTTAGGTCCTGCATCAGGCACTTAGGAGCTGATCCTAAACGGCGTTACAGACTCGCGCCCACTAGCTATGTGTAACACACATGTAAATGTTTAGGTTCCAGTCCTCCTCCTGTGTTGCAGACATTTTGAGGAGTGCTTTCTGGTATCTTCCAGACTACCGCTATTCTGCAGCCCGCAGGCTGAGGACTACATGACCTTCCCTGGTCGCATCCAGCCTTACCCTGCTCTGATCCCAGAAAAAAAGTACTCCAAGCTGCCAGGAGCTAAGGGTCTATTTCTGGAAGGGACAACAGTGTCCAAGCTCCCCATAACAATGCCATTAGAGGCAGGATGAACATCACTGCGGGGGAAAGTATCTGCCTACCTCTAGTTCCTGCACCTTCCCAGAACACATACAGCTAGACTCTGAGAATTTCATCTGGTGCAGCAATTCCTACATTCCTAAAATCTAGCCCCATTGCAGGGATACAAATTGATAATGGTACTGATATCACAAACACACAGGAACACACACCTGCATAAATAATTCTGGATTAATAACCTCCTATTTCACCTGAGCTTGCCTGTTAAACCACTACTGTTAGCAGGTATGTTGCATCTTACTCTGCAAGCCATCTGGACAGCGGTAAAGCATGGCCACACAGGGACTGACACACTTGAAAGAATTTTTTTTCTCTTTCTTGAGGATAGGTGTAAAATCCTCAGGGATTTTCCAAGGCCCGGAGAGCTGGGGGCTGCTGTGATGCTGGGAGTCCATTCATGTGCAAGTCGCAGGTAAGGTACTTGGGAGGTGCTCAATTTCACCACCAGTAGGGCCAAAGTCGCTGGCACAAGGCTTCTGCAAGGTAGATGCAGGCTCCAGCAGGGCTGCACGAACGGAGCCTGGCGTTAATGCAAACAAATTAAAAAAACTGAAGGCAATGTGGGGTGCACCTACCGTTCAAATTCCACCAGATCCGGGGATGAAGTGTCCGGAGACTGGATAAATTCTGGCTTCCCATCCTCTTCCATTGTTTGTTTTTCACATTCTTGAATCAAATACCAGACGGTAGAGTCACTCTCACTCACAGCTTCCGAGGCTGATGCAGTGCTGGAAAGAACACACAGAAAAAAAACCCACATGAACAACCTCTTAACTGGATTAATAAGGCCCTTGTCATGGTCACTCTGGAATCCAGGGCCATTCTTCCCAAGCCAGCTTTCTCCTCCTCTTTTTGCTTTGCAGGCAAATGAGAAGTCCTTGGTGGAGATGAGCTACATAGAAGGGAAAGGAAATACAAGCACTGACTGGCGACGAGACTAACAACATGCTTAGAGTGTTCGTGCACTGTACGGGATTACAGGGGTCCAGGTGAAATCTCTTCATCTTTTCCTCACGATGAAAGGCCTCAGCTTGGAAATTCAGTAACAATGACAACGAGGTTCAGAGATGCTGGGATAGAAGCAAGTGCAAAGTATTATCATCTTTCCTTGGTTAATATAAGCCCTTACCTGTGATTGCTGAAGTACCTCTTGACATATTCCTCCCTGACTTCCTCCAAGCTGGACGGGTTCCCATCCTCCAGACTGAAGGACTCTGTTGTCAGCAGAAAGGTTACGGTCACACCAGTGGCACTTTTGGCTTCCCTCTCACCCTCAGCACTAGTCAAACAGAGTAATTTCGACAACTGGTCCTTCACAAGCCAGAGCTTTTCATTAGGCAAAAATGATGTGAAAGGAGACACCTCTGCCTCTCTTACAATATAACTGGCAATACTGGGAGTTTATGATCATTGAGGAACTTAGAATCAATGCCTTCTTCCTAACGTTGGTCTGACAGAACTGATGGTGAAAGCAACCAGCAAATCAAAGTCCAGGCAAGCACCAGTCAATACAGTATTTTGTGATTGCCCTATAATGAGCAAATTGCATGTAAAAATCCCTGACAACCAACCTGTGATTCACAAGCAGTACGAATTGTACATATATGTAAGTAAATATATGGGGAAGTTTACCTCCAAATTCTCCTCAACCAGCCTCACTGCTTGTGATCCCTTCAATTTTGCTCTGTCAAACTATTCCTTCTACCTATGACTGACTTTTATGGGTTATCCAAGGATGGGGGTTCAGAGATGTGCTCATTTTAAGCACTGGGACTTTTAATTGATGCAAATTATTGGAGGTGCAAGTTGCATGAATAGCAATGTTTTTTTCTAGCTGACAGTGATTTGGACACTTGAAGGGACATAAAAATATGTCCAAAGTCCCTACCCCATCAGCCCCCAGTCCTACTTGCCACCACTGGAGGCAATGGCCAGCATTAGTAAACAGAAGGCACGATAGCGAGGGCGTGAAGCCCCGCAGCAGGAGCTGCCTCAAGTGCTGACAACACATGCTAGACCAGCATGACGCATGGTGTCGCAGGCTGTAACGGAGGAGTGCATGAAGACGACCCGCCAAGCTGAAAGAAAACAAAACTGCAGCATCTCTCTTACCCATTTCTATCGCAGTAAATTCTTAACTAGAGGCTTCCATTTCCTATACTAGGAAAGCCTCAACAGCTTCTCTGTCCTTCTCCTTTAACTCACACCAGAGCCTGCTGTTCTGAAGTTTAAGCTCTGTCTGTGCTGACTCGCAACGCTGGGTGCTCATGATGGCTGTGACTTGCACTGTGCCACGTTGCTGCAGCTGAAAGGAGCACACATGCTCCTGCAGCCTCTCAATGGGAGCCCAAACATTCAGCCTGAGGACCCAGGCCAGCCCCACACCTGCTTGGGGTAGATCGGCAGCAGGGTGACAAGGGCACTCTGCCTGAACTGCCTGCTGCCATGGGATAGCAGGAATTACTTGTTTCCTTCCTTCACCTAGGCTGGGGAGGGGGTAGGAACGACTGAGAGTCAGAGGGGGATTTCTGAGGTGCAGTGCTTCATGAGTTGACAAACTTTTGTGCCATCCTTTGCTTATTGCTACAACTAAAGCCACAGTTGGCTCTAATGCTTTAATGGGCTCAGCTGCATACCTATCTGTCTCTATTTAACAAATAAATAACAAACAAGTCCAGGCACTCTGTCCAAGGCAAATACTTGCATACAGTACCTTTCATCTTCAGCAAAGAACCCAAGGTTTGCTCCAGCTTCTGGATAGATTTCTTAGCCTTACGCAAAACCTGATACTAAACATAAGAAGAAGTCAGAACTGATTGCTCTCTGCTCTGACTAGATTAATGTTCTAACATGCCTTGGTTGTTTTCTTCACTATTCCTTCATTTTGACCTTCAGTTATCTCGATGTCTCTGTGAAAACAACTGTGTTGTTTCATCAGCTACCCTTATCCATATGAAAAGGGGAAAGAACTAATACCAGAGCAAACTTAAATATAGAATATAAATATTTGGGTATACATTATGCAATACATACACATAATTCCCAGTCACATAGACATTTGTTACTTAACTCTGATCTTCTTTCATCAGCAACTGGTCTTGTTTGGATCATTCTCTTCTTGGAGTATGTCCAGAAATACTATGCTGTGAAGTCTTGTTGGATGTCTACCAACTTTTGGCATAAGACTTTACTAATCATTTCCCATGAGAATTTTGCTAGGAGAAGCCTTTGCCATGTTCTACTCTCAGCTACACTGATGTAAACTGGAATAACTTCAGTGCTGTACATCATTCCTTCATCATTTATAGCAAGCATAACTGAGAACATATGGCCAATGCATTTAAACATACACATCTCAAAAATATTTCAAGATTTATGTGATCGGTGGCACCATCCACAGTCACCTTAGACAGCATGTCTACCTTGCAGAGCTTTCATGCTGGATATTTTAGCCAGACACGAAGCACTAAGATTACAAGTGAACTTCTGTATTTAGGCTCTTGAAGATATTAATCTTCCTTGGCCCCCAAAAGTCACACAAGGGGCACATGATACTATGAAAAAGCAATTTTAAGAACTGGTATGTGAAGATAGTCCCCTTAGACTAGACAAAACAAGTATCTGTTTAGTCTTGGCTTCTGAGATCATGGTGACTTCAGCTTAATTTGCATCTTGTTCAGAACATGGTACACTGAACTCTTACCTCAAACAGCATGAGAGGTATGGGGTTCAGCAGGCACAAGCCCCAGATAGAAGTATTTTGCATGTTCAGAGCCTCAAAGCCCTTTACAAGGACAATTCCTGTCCTAAACAGTCATTACCCTCTCCATTTTACAAACTGGAAAACTGAAAGTAACCAATCTAACTAAATGAATTGGTGGCAGACCTGAGGATAAAAGACTCCTGTTTATTCCTCTGCCTTAAGCATGGTAATATCCATCTTTTCAGCATTTTGGGTCAATTTCATCTTTATAAACAATTTTGTTTTGATTAAATAGTTTCTTAGTTTAGTAGAGACCAATAAACAGCACTGGTGGTTGTTTTTTTTCCTGACTTATTTTTCCAGAGTGTCTCGAAGACAAAGTGCACCCCATAAGGCTGAATGAATTACTCTCTCCCCTATAACTTCTTCTGTCCCTAAACTCACTGTTCTGATTTCATAGCAAAATGCTGTGAAATCAAGATAACTTCATCACGGGATCCTGTGGTTTGTTTCCAAAACACTACAAAGAAGCCGCAAAGCTATAAAGAAGCTGCAAAAACCCTGTAAGAAAAGGGCAGATAAGCCCATGATAAACGCATGACCCAGAGACTACAAAGTGAACGATTTGCTCACGCCGAGCTGGCAGCTTTAAAGTAAAAGGGATCCAGGAAAGCTGCACGCAGTGAAATTACACACACACTGGCACCCGCAAAGATACAGTGGTCATCCTAATAGACCTGGTCAAATTTAAACATACCCATGTGTAATAGCAATACATAGAGAAATACAGTCACTGCTCCGCACCTTTGAGGCTGAGTTGTCTGACTGGAATAAAACAGCTTCCCGCAAGCCGCTGAAGAGTCTTGCCAGTGTAGCCCGGTGACGTGCCTGTGACAAGCGCCGCTTTGCCACATGGGGTTCTACCTCTTGCAGGTGTGTCAGGGGTTTGAGACTCACTCTGGCATGTGTCTTCCTACAGTCTCCAGCTGTCTCCATCAAAAGCTGCAATGCAACATTTATTCATACTGAATAAATATTTAAGGGAAGAAAAAGAAATCTTACAGCCTGTGTAGTGGACAGACAAAAAAAGAAAGTTCAGGGTGACTGACAAGAGCACTCCAGCTCACTTTTCTGTAGGAAATGATGGAGTTTGAAACCTTCTCTTTGCCTGAGGGATGCCATCTGTAAGTACTGACTAAAACCTAATCTACAACGATAAACTGCATGGCATGAAACACAGCCGAGACAAGCCTCCCACCTCCTGCACCCTTCCCTGCAATGACTTAATGCTCCACTTCCATCCGCTATCCAGGGCTTGGCTTCACAAAGCGCTGAGACTCCTCAGCTCCCCCCGACGTTACTAAAAGACAGACTTCTTCACAGCATCGGAATTTTTTTCCCAATTAACCGTGACATCGGAGCAGGCAACGATACCAGACATACACATGTGCGAGAGGGCCAGACCCACGCCCAGCCGGGCCCGCTGCAGCCACCCCGCCAGCCTGACAAGAGTCCAAGGCGCCTGCCTGGCGAAGCCCTTCCCGGCAACCGGAGCGGTGCCCCCCGCCCCGTTACCGACCGCAAGTACGGCCTAGAGTTAGGACCGCCCGCCCCTGCTGTTTCTTCTGCAGCCGGGAGGGGAAGCCCGCGGGGGCTCACGCCGGACGCCTCTGGGGATCGATCGATCTATCGACCGATCGATCCCACCCTGCCCGTCCCGGCCCGGCCCT